TATGCAGTTAAATTAATGTGGTGGGCTTATTCTTTTCTGAAGTCTAGTTTTAAGAATAGTGGAAGTTACACTTTTTTTTCTTCCTCCATTTCTGGCTCCCCCTGGATGTACGGCGCCCTTAGCATTTGCCTATACTGCCTATGCCACGGGCCGGCCCTGCTTACTAGTCACATTAATGTAGTAACAGCATCAAACTCTGTTGGAAAAAAACAGTGTACATAAGTGCGATGGAGGCATCTGTACTTATTTTTAGTTTCTCCTTCTTCACATCTTATCATACCTTTTTATACTCCATTAGCTTTATTTGATAACTTGAGTTTACAGTTTCTTTTCACAATTAGATGAATAAAATAGAAACTACAGTACAAGCCTAATCATGTGACTTCAAGCTACTCACCAGAAGTTTAAACTTTCACATTTAAAATTATCCCTACCTTTACCAGCCACAGCATTAAAATGATGAACACAATAATGAGCCAGAAATTAGAATCAATAATATACTACATTAATGTATTATTATTATGCACAGTGCTACTTTTACTTTTGGTAATTTAGCTATATTTCGCTGCTAAAGCCTTTGCACTGTTATTTAAGCAACAATTTGAATGTCTTACCTGTAACAGGGCATCTCAGTAAAAAGACGCCAACCGGTTTGGACCTCATCAGGTCTTCATCAGGACGGAAACATACAGGAACAAACTATTTAAGTTTCCATGCAGCGTTTTCATTGAGCTGCACGATTAATATTAGATATAAAAGACACTGGACATGTAAAACTAGAGGAGTTCTTTCATCTATAAGACTACACACATCCAACAGGGAATAAGTTACAAGTCAACTCTAAAAGATTTCTCCTAGATTGAGCAGGTTTCACAATTAGCCTGACCATTGACAGGCTCAAGTAAAGCAAGCGTAGTGGACGACTAACGTTACCCTTGATAATTTTCTTGCTAGCAGAGGTTTGCAAACGTCCTACATTAGCATTCGGCAAACGCTAGATAAAGTATCCCACCTGGAATAGAAAACATAAATTTGGACAACTGTGTTAACAGAGAAGCACCTGCGCACTGCCTACATACAGAACGCAACACATGAAATGTTTACTGTGATTTTCTAATGTGACCCATCTGAGTAGTAGAACAGACCCGCTGTCATCCATCTTGAAACTCTACTACAACCAAACTTACAAAACCACCACTGGAGACTAATTTGAAGAACCCAGCTACCACCTGATTGGACATTTTGACTCTGCTCTGTGATTGGACTGTTACTATCCAATCAGATTCAGGTGTGTTTCACACTAAACCGCAGTACTCCTAAATAGAGTTGTGTGTGCAATTTGCTGCTTTCTGTCTGTACACAGATGTTCACAAACACACTTGTTTTCAGTGTATTTGTGTAGCATAATTTGTTTACAGATTTTTTTCACATGTTCAAAAATTGTTTTTATATACAAATCTTTCCTACACATGCTTACAAAAATTGTGACCATGTACATACATTGCTATTTATACCATTTGCCCTTCATTTGACTAGCAGGCAGTAATGGGTCACACTTGTTAAGATTGGTGTAATGCTGTGTGCCACCACTAAAGGGCAGCCTTACTGTGTGCTGAGGAGAAGGAACAGGAAAAAGAAAAGTTACAAGACATGTTTTAGGCAAAACTGTGGCTTATTCCTACCATTTATTTTTTAAATAAAATCTAAAACCACTAATATTTAGTATGAATAAAGAGGGGTTTCAAATAAATACTGTACAGAGATAAATGTGATGAACACTGCACAAGACAGAACTGCAGAAAAATGGACAGTAATTCAAGAGGTATGGAAATTTTCAACTTCTACGCAGTGACTTTAAGCTGCTGTCTTCCTGCTCGAAACCTTCTGATAGACAGGATCAGATGCTCACCGTAGCACATCATCATGTGTCACCTCCTTCCCAATGCCCTTGCCTCTGTAAATGGGCTCTGTAGAAAACAGGGGGAATATAGAGTCCAGATATAAAGAGATATACACAGGAAATAATTGAGATGTACAAACCACAGCACAGGCTGACTATAGATATTTGCTCAGCCTCTGATTTGGAATCACTTTTAAGATAAGCACACTGGGCATCACCTGCTATCATGATCTCCAGCTCAGCCAAGGAGGGGCCTATTGGGTCCGTCAGGAACATGTTGACATCTCCCACCATGCACTGCTCGTCTTCTATACTGGGACCTCATAAAGCAGTTGTCACTGAATCATATTTCACTTTATCCTAACATAAGTTTTATTAAACAAGCTTACCGTTATTTGGGCAATGTGTTAGCTTATTTATGTAGTCATTGTAAAAATTCGGAATGTTAAAAACTTGTTATACTCTTAGAATAAGTTAAAAGTAAAAGAAGTTTTCTCAGATTTATCTTTCCAGTAAGTGCCAAACCAGACACAAACACCAATGCTTCACACAATAACATTCGTGGCTCCCTGATGGACTCAGGATTCAGCACTCTCGCCGCTGCGAGATTTGATTTGAACTTTAAACAGTCGAGTGCAAAACAAAAGTGCCAAACTCTTTTACAATCAAATCTATCTAGTCCCCAGTGTTCCAAATACAGTAAAAACTGGATTGGACTGTTTACAATTAGTCTCAAATGCTATTATGAATGAATGAAGGTCATCACAGTTCATAAAAAGATAGCTTTATTGCACAAGGTGTTCAGTACTCTTTTTCTGTTTTTGTTTGTTTTCATAGAAAAGAAAATGTAGAGTTAAACACAAGCAATTGCAAATTGAAGCAACGTTTTCCCATAAAAGTTTAAGGAACAACCTCTGCATTTTTAAAATGTTTTAATTCACCCCCCTTTTAAATTGTTCAATTCATCATATCCCTTTTTCTTTTATAACCAGAAAATGTTTCAGAACATGCAATGCTGCTGTCCTCCCCACACAAAGTGGAATAATAAAGGCAAACTCTAAATCAAACAACTTGTGACAAAGTTAAAATCAAAAAAAAAAAAGATTAAAAAAAAAAAAACCGGAAAAGGAGACAATGCAACCAAATGGCCTGTAAAAGAAGAAATCCATATAATTAATTCTGCATGGTCCATTCTGACATGTTCCAACTGGTCCATAAATCAAGATAAAGCAATGTCTGTATAATTCTATAGTTTCTCATTGTCCTTTTCTGTTTCATTACAATAACGTCAGTTCAAAGTTTACATTGTGCCCTGGTTTCTAGTGAAGATGTTGAAAATAGTACTCATTTATTCAAAACACTTTCCTATGTACACAAGTCTTCTATTATGGAGTACAAATTATGTTGTATACGTGGGCAAAGGGTTACAGTGAGAGGGGGACATCTGATTGGTTGGGACGTTGTGAAAAAGGTTGGGTTAGTCTCAGGTGAAATTGACCTTACAAACACAGGCCGAGTCAGTTTGAAAATTTTTTTTGTTCTATTTTAAGGAAAATTACAACCTCAATCGCTTTAAATTTGTAAACTATGTAAATGTTTCAGAAAACTGGTCAAATGTGAGGCCAAGGAATTAGTAGAGACCAGTAGAAATAAAAAATATCTGTAGTCTCAACTAATGTTTGTATTGTTTATGTCAATTTATTGTCTAAATTTTCAGCATTTAGATTTTGTAAAAATTTGTGACAAAAAATGTATGGCATTTTTTTAAAATCCTTTTGCCAATTTTTATGTTTTTTAAATAGCTGTAGTAGTGCAAAAAATGATAACAACATTGGGCTTCATAAATATAAAATATTTGATTCATCAATAAAAATGATATATTTATAAACACTATATTATCATTTTGCATTATTCATGCTTTTGCCACAAAGTCAATGAATACTTGAATGATAATTATACAGTACATGTATTAGGTTTTCATATAACAGCAGGTAGTCTACATCCCCATCTTTAAATTAGACCACAAAGGTTAATATCTGGAATTGAAATCCTTCTGAAAAATTCTCTAAACTTCTGTGCAAAGAAATAAAAACATTAATTTGGGTCTGATAAGTTCTGTCTAACACAACAAATAAATAAGTAAATAAATAAACAAAACATTCACTGAAATAAATCCACAGTACTCTGTACTTCACAAAAACTCAGGTTTTGTGGAATTGGAAACAAAACACATATTATAGATGATCATGAAATAAAACTCAATGTGGAACCATCACTGATTGATAATAAACACAGCGATGGTGTAGAAGTATCAGAGGGTGGAATTTTCCTTAAACGTATACATTCCACTTACTTTAATCAAACTGACAGTAGGTCAGTGTTTTACAGTAGAAGTAACCTTACTGACGAGCTGGAGAAAGCAGGTTTGAGCGGGAGTTCATGTCATCACTCTATCCAATAGCCATACATCTGCCTCATTCACAAATGTGTTTTTTCCCTCAAAACAAATATTTGCATAACTTGAATCATGAAGCCCAAAATGAAAGACATAACTATCAGTGGAAAGCAAAATGCATTTTTCTGCTATCTAAAATAAGAGGAAGCATGAATACGTCTGTAAGCATTTCTTTACTGTGTGGTATGCTTGTTGGCCTGCAGCCCTGGAGTTTGGGGAGGACTTGTTATAACACAGATAAGAAATAGAGATACCTGTTGGTTTGTTTGTCTTCATTAACTATAGTCAGGTAATGGCATTGAGTTTGTGAACACACCTTTGGAAGGTACAATACAACATATTACAATAGGCTCACTTACTGTATAGGTTGTCCTTGTTTCACTGTTTTCGTTATCAACACCACACTGTCTGCACTGAGCCACAGACCACAGTTAACCAGCGACACAACCTCACACTATAACTTGACTCTACTGTGCTTGTCCTTTCAGCTGCTACCTGCCGCACAGGTGTCGCAGCTTGAACATTTACAAAATCACAAGGGGGTCACCGTATCATTCCTCAAACCTCAGTTGCACCATTTAACCTTCGTTCACGCCACTTCCTCTCTGTCCGTGGTTGTGCTACCCGTTTAACCTTCCCTCTTCTTTTTCTTCCTTCTTGTAGGTTTTCACTCTGAGCGATTGTCTTGTGATCTTTTATATATATATTCAATTAGAACGGCTTTTATATTTCTCTGCTTTTTTCAATATTCATATATTTGCTATATATTTGAATAGAAATATATATGTACATACTTTTGAAAAGAAACATATATCATATCTTTTTCTTTTTTCTATTGCGAGAGCCCTGATGTTATGTTTTACAGTTGCAAAACATTTGGAGCAACTCTTTTTTTTGGAACAATCTTTGTTATGGAATTAAGCTTTGGGAGAAGAAAAGGGGTGGGGGGGAACTGAACAGATACAGTACCATGCATAAAGCTAAAATCAATTTCAGTGAGGTGGAGGGACTTAAAAACATCTTTTACTTTTGAAGACTATGTTTTTTTTAAGAAAAATTGTATCTCTCTGCTGTGTAACCCCCCTAACACTATTAACACTTGATCTCTCTGTCTATGATCTCAAAGTTATTGTCCATTCATAAATTCAAGATCGCTTCATACAGATATTTTTCTTGTCTACATCTCTGTTAATTTGCTGATGCTTAATTTCTCCATTCAAGTTGTCACTGAATGTTAAACAGCATTCCTTCCTGGCTGTGCATATTAGACCTCATCTCTCAGTTTGTCTTTTTGACTAGCTGGTATGCTAGCAGTAGGTTACAGTGATACTGTATGGGTATGATGGGGGACTGGGTGGGCAGAAGTGAAGGTGGGGAAGAATATAAAGGGACAAAGCGGGTACAGGTAAAATGTGTTAAACAAAAGAATAATGGCATTGTGGCACCATGATGCATAAGGGAATCTCTTCCTTCTTTGCTGAGGGAGTGAAAGAGAAAAAGAGAAAGAAAAGAGCCTCTTCCTTCCTAATTGCTCCCTTTTGAATCCCTTCCTCTTTAGGATTTCCTAAGCAATGCTGTCAATCATGCTTAACAAAACAAAGTTCAAAATGTTGGACCAGATTGGGATCGTACCGTTACATTGTCAGCATCATCATCATTACTGTCCATGTCCCCTCCACAAAACGAACAGGGTGGGAGATGGGACTTGGTTTTGACACAGACATCTGCCCGAGAGGTCAGCATACAGATTGATTTTAAAAAGGTCCACTGTTGGTGTGTGCCTGCCACATGTAGACATATTTATATTTACACATATACACCCACACGCACGCAGGCTCGTGAAGGTTTCTGTTACTTGGATCCATTCTAACATTTTCTTAGTGCACATGAGATTATATTTCATCATCATAAAATAAAGAGAAAAAAAAGGTTTGGATTCATTTTTCACTTGATGATGCTTGACCTTATTTTTAATCACTTCTGCTTTGAGTCTGTTTATAAAAGCATCGATTAAGAGCACTATGCTGTGTCATCCATTGCATGGATGAGAAAATTCCCCACGTTTCAAAACTGGTAATGAGACGTCCTTCCACTGCCTCTAATGTCTGAATCCATGATGGACTAACCTCTCAGACCCAGTGTTAACACCAAGGTTGATGGTTTATGCATACAGTAAAAGCATCCTGCCGTGGCACAATGCTGTGATAGGAGCTTTTCTTCCATCACAGACCAGACATATTTAAAAACCTACAAACTTTAACACAGTTCTATGTGAAACTCAAGCAACCTGGTTCATTCTACAACTGCCTCAATCCAGAAGACAAGACAGTGTACGTGGAAAGCATTTTGTGCATAAGTACTGTGTCCTTAGCAGAAAATGAAAACATGAAGTGAACGAATAAATCATTTATGTTCTGGCCAGTGATTTCCAGGGTGATGAAATAACAGCTAGAGAAAGATGACAATAAGAATTGAAAGCAATCAGGCAGAAAGAAAGGCAAACCCCTGTGCTGTGGAGACCCAGCTCTGACCCTTTCATACAGTAGTGTCGATGGGAACCCAAGCAGCCCCCTGCAGCCTGGCACAGCGCAGGCACTGACGGGTCAGCTGAGCAGGTGTATGGTCCTCACCCCACTTTCCCATAGAGGCTCCAGGTAAGAGCTGGCTTGACCAGCATTCTATCGAGTGTTACAGTGACAGGCCGCAGTGATGGCAGGCTACACCAGTGTGTATGACTTAGAGTAGGCCCCTGCCCCTCCATCCCTCTGCTTCTGTAGTCTGCCTAAGCCCAAGGAGCTGCTCTCCAGGAGAGAGTCTCGGGATCCTCCCATCTTGGAGGAAGATGAGGAGGCACCTCCAGGGGTCCCTCCTGTGGCCCCTACTGCCCCACCTCCACCAGAGGAGGATGATGCCCCAGCAGCGGCAGCACGACTGCACTCTGAGCCACTGAGGCAGAGGAGCCGGGCATGGTGAGAGTCCTCTGGGGAAGTGTGGAGCTGCTAGAGCTAGCTGACGCCCCTCCACTCCCGCTACCTCCACCGCCACCTCCTGCTCCTCCTCCAGAGGATGCCCCAGAGGAAGTGAGGTTGGACAGGCCAGAGTGGCCCATGGATAGGGCCTGCTGCTTTGCAGAGTCCATAGTCACATGACGGCCCTGGGTGTGGTATGACCGCTGGGCCAGGCCACGAATAGAGGCTTCACGTGGTGGGACTACTGGACATGGGTCATGATGCTCCGACTGCTTTCGGAAGAAGGGATCTGACTTCATGTAGAGGGGTAGATTGCAGTAGTCACCTGGAGGGGAAATGTACTAAGTTAATGCTCATATTCACAGTGCACACTATGAATATTTGATCGCACTTTTGCTGTAATGGCTCCAAAACTGTGCTGCAGTTTGCCTGTTAATATTAGATCTGCAGTGGATCTGCCCGTCCTTAAGTCACTGGTAAAAACTTATTTTCCAAGTCCTTTGGATCATACTGGAGTTGACATGTTTCCTTTAAGAATCTTTTATTGTCTGTGTCTCTTGCTCTTTATTTTAATGTAGCCTATGTGAAGTACTTTGTTCAACATGTTTTTTAAGTGCTAAATATATTTGATTTGATTTTAATATTTGCACAATGTATTTGTCTAAAAGAACTGAACTTTTATCTAAACCACTGGTGACATTACTGGTGCAGTGTGGTTCAAAGTGTTTATTTTGTCATATGCACAGTTAGGAAACCTGTTTCCCTGTACAATGAAATTCTTAATGTTTGCACACTATGTACATATGGCCCCTACTTCCCCTGTCAACCTAGTACCTTTAATTGTTTTAGTATAGTTTTTCATTATCATTTGCCCCATATCAAACAAATACTTGGTGAATAAAGTCTGACTGATATATTCATAACACAAGTTGCAGTTTTAAAGCAATTATCATATTTCAAGCCATTTTTAATGTGAAATGTCAGCAACCACTTACTCTTGGCGCGGTGTGGAATGGGCACAGCTACATTCTTGCCACGGTCATAGTCCTGGGGTTTGGGTGGCGAGGCAGTGAAACGGCAGATACCAGGCTCTGACGGTGTGCTCATGGACGTCATGCTGTCTGCATTGTCGTTGGTACCTGTGGTCATCTGGTCAGATGAGCTATCAGAGATAAAGCACTCTGTAATCTCAAACTTAGCATGCTGCAAGTGTTCCTCCAGCTTGGCATGCTCATATGCTCTCGCCAGCTCCTCGTAGGTGGACGAGGCGCTCTCTGTTGACACCATGCTGTTGCGACCCTTATCTATGGAAGAGAAAGGAATGAAAATGAAGGTGATCGCAGGTTATCCCGGTTTACAAATGCTTTCTAATTAGAAGTCCACTGCAAAAACACACTCTCCACCACATGTGAAAAATAGCCTTTTTTATATGTGCATGTTAATGGCTGTAAGTGTCATTTTGCCCATGTGCCAACCTGTGTCCTGTGAGAGGCTAGCACTGTAGCTGTCACTCTCTGTGACGGTGATGCCATGCTGGGAACCAACTGTGCGCCAGTCTGAGGTGAGAGTGCGAGCTGGCGTAGATGCCTGACACTTGGTCAGAGTCCACTGACTGGAGTAGCGGTTCCTGATGCTGTGGGCTGATTTAACGCTCTTTCTTGACACTGGGTCTGATGGGAAGCGGATGAAGAAGTAAGAAGAATGTGCTTATTTACAGAAGCTGTTTCAAGCCTGGAAAATGAACAAGTATTTACAAAAAGCAGGCTTCTCTTCATGTTCTGGTCCACAGTGGATTTTAACAGATCACGAAAAATATTTCAAAAGCTCATAAGTGAAGGTAAAGATACAGTTCATTCATGATTATTCCTGACAATTGGTCAAAAAAGGCAAGAAAATGGGCAAAATGTATCTATGATCCTGTTATAATGAGAAGGGAATATGGGCTACAAGCTAAAAAAAAGAGGGCACCCCTCTTACCAGCAGTTGTTTATATAAAAAAAACTACTTGCAGTGTAAGCCTGTTTAAGATCTGAGGCAAAATAACATGTAACTACAACAAAATCAGACGAATGGTTAAACTTCTGAATCTGAGCTAAACAGAGCATAGAGTGTCTATGCTCTGAGACTTGGATTATTATATTGAAATGACAGCTGGCTTGCCAACAACAACAGATATTTGTGTCACAGGAGTAAGAACAGATCATTTACTGGGCCACAACTTAAAGATTTTGCCAAACTCAGTATGAAAATACACGTCAACAGTGCAGGAATCACATATTTGCACAATTCCTTGTTGTTGCAGGCCTATGAGCCTAACACGCATTTAATGATAAGTCATAGTTTTGTTGTCAGGCATAGTTGCAGCACGCTTTTAATTGAAATTTTATGCAATTAGCCACAATGAAAATAATTAAAAAATTAAAATATAACATTAAAAATTGTTAGAAAAAACCTGCCTTGCAAAAAGGACACTTATCAAGTCAGAGGGTGAAAGGGCAGGCATGTCTGTGCATCTGCCTGATGGAAGCTGAAGAGAAAGTACTTACTGGTTCCTGGTCTGATGTCTGACATGTCAATTAAAGGACCAGTGTTCTGGATGAGGGCGGGGTGATGGACAGACACACCCGTGCAGAAGCTCTGAGGGTTCCCAGTCTGGTTGAACTCTGTGTCTGTCACAGGGATAGTGGCCTTGTCCTCACCTGTGAGTCAGAGAATAAATATTACAAAAAAGCAGGTGTTGTAGGTTAAGCAACTGAATAAATGTCTAATGCCTTTCAACGTTCATAAGGCATGAAGATCATTTGATCCTCTGCTCATGCATGGATACATCAACACACGCGATAACTCTCTCTCGCACCGATTTGCTTGATGCCTTCTTTATCCTCAATTAGCAGCTGCACTCTGGGAATGTCGATGTGTAACCGCGGGCCCTGAGGAGGTCCCTTCACTGGGGTGTCAAAGCTGCGGTTGTTTTTACTAATCCACAAATACAAGACAAGCACAAACATTTATGGTTTTGAGAAAATGCAAAAATGTGGATTTGTGAAATGGATCATCTGTCACACTATAATAATATTTCAGTTGTGGTGAGGACGACTAGGAACTAGTGGTTCTTACCTGATCAGCATCTCTGCTAGGCTTTTGGCATCTAGAGAAAGCAAAGAACCTTTTTTTTTCTGACATGCAAATCAGTCTTTAAAATAAATACAACTTCACAATTCTCTCTAAAACCTGCTTCAGGAAACTGAAAACTGTTTTGCTCTCATAGCCAGTTCATTCCTACCACTTCTTTCCTTTTAGTTTTCTCACCTCTTAGTCTCTTCAGCCTCTTTTCTTTGCGTTTCTTGCGAATGATGAAGAGCAGTGCAACGCCCAGAGTGACCAAGATGACAGGACAGCCAATAGAAAACAACTTCTTGACATCATCGTTCTTTTCCAGGGGAGATTTTATCGGTGGGATTGTGCCTGCACACGCCCGGGAGGAGTAGAGATTAGTTACTGCCCTTTCACGACAACATTCTAAGGCACCCAGGTTAATTAATTTCTTATTATTAGTAGACAAAACAATTTATCCAGATGGATTGCCAGACAAAGAAAGTCTTCAACTCACTGCCATCATAATCCAGTGTTGCAAACTGGGAGCTCTGGTTGCCACAGCCTGCGCTGTTACATGCTTTCATCTTCAGCTCATACCAGGTGGCCTCACGCAGCTCTGCCAGGAACACATCTGTGGTAGCATTGGTACGCACACTCTGCCATGCCCATGTGCCTGCAACAAGTACACATGCCAATGTTGAGTCTCCTAATCTTTTTTCTTTCTCCTTGATTTCCATAAAAAAGATGGAACATTATCTCGGTTATTAACTACTCACTTCTTTCTGTCACATGTCTGATTTAACTAAGATTCTTTTATTTCTAGTGGACTTGCTCCTCAGTATCTCCAAATATCACCAACAACTGCAAACTGAAAAAGCAAAGACTCACCTTTTGGTCTAAACTCTAGTGTGACGGCGCTGATCGGACAACCTCCACTGGCCCAGCCCTGCAGGTTGAGGCGGGCGTGGCTGGAGTTAATGTGGGTGAAGACTGGCTGATCCTTGTTGAACTGGGGCTCTGTAAAAGAAGCCCAACGGTGATGTATTAAAGAAATGACATATGTTATAGCATATAGTAGGTGCTCAGGGAAGATAAAACGGTATAAGCAGGTCCAGGCAGTTCAGCAATACTGGAAATCTCTTATAACTACTGCAAACAAACTGAGAGTGAGTGTTCCAAAAATATCCTACTAACTATATTAAATATTGTTTAATAATAATAATCAATATATATGTATTTATCCACCCAAAATAACTCACCTGTGATAGAAGACATGATGTTTTAATTAGTTTTTCTCATTCGAATGTTAAGATTGTGGAGAATATTTATAACTTTAATCAAAATGGAACACCAAAAAAAAAGAAAGACTAGAAATGTGTTAGCACCTCTTATGAGTGATATAAACAAAGGGGTGACGTTTGATCCTTTAGGACAGCAATCGCTTTTGTAATTACAATTTCAGAAGTATTTTCTGTGTTGAAATGTAAAGGATGAAAGATTTTTTGTGGTTTCAGGTTCTAATGTTCCTAATATTGTTGGATGAATGCTATGTACATTAGTAGTTAAAGCTTCATTATGACAGCACCACAGGGGCCTCTCAGATGTGGCCTATAGACATTTTAGGCCATGGAATTTGCCATTCAGACCGTTATTCCTCAGCACCTAGCCCATCACACAAAAGGGATGTCTGCTACTTTGCTAAAAGGACATCCATAAAATTCACCGTTCTCCATGCACACTAAGTCCCTTCACCCTCCACTTTTGGCTTCTCACCTCGCCCGTGGGTCTTCGCCTCAATGATCTCACTGATGCGTCCAGCACCGACGCTGTTCTTGGCAGCCAGCTTTACTTTATACCAGGTGCCACAGCGCAGGTTGTCCAGTTTGAAGGAGCGCTCACTAGAACTGATGAAAACATCTTTCCATTCCTCTGTGTTGTCCACAGAGTACTGCAGCACAAAACCTAAACACACACAAAAAAAGACATGCACACAAAAATCATTTTCTTGCTTGTTACATAATTCTCTGTTTTACAGTTACAGTAAGACAAAGATCTTTCTGCACTAACCCTGCTAAACTTTCTAACGTTGGTACCATTGCTCTCCACAGGATGGCAGTGAGGGACCACAGTTTTCTTGCCCAAATAGGCCCTGATTGGAGGACACTCTATGCTCTGTTTATGCCGCCATTAGTTACCTACACACCCCAAGACTGGGATGGCGCTGACTGAGCATGTATGCAAATGAGGGTAGGCAATATGGTGACTGTTTTTTTAATCAGCTGCCATGGAGAGCCAACTCACTCCTGCTCTCTGACACTTTCAATCTAATCCTCCATCTC